AGATGGAGTCTCACTCTGTCACTCAGGCTGGAGTGCAATGGCACAGTCTCAGCTCACTGCAACCTCTGCCTCCCGGGTTCAAGTGATTTTCCTGCCTCAGCCTTCCAAGTAGCTGGGACTACAGGTAACCACAACCACCACACCTGGCTAATTTTTGTATTTTTAGTAGAGACAGGGTTTCACTATGTTGGCCAGGCTTTTCTCAAACTGCTGACCTTGTGTTCAGCCCACCTAGGTCTCCTAAAGTGCTGGGATCACAGGCATGAGCCACTGGGCTCAACCCCCTCCATTCTTTTCACTTTTTTTTGTTGTTGTTTAGTTAGGGTTTTTTGTATTGTTTTCTTTTTGTTTTCAATTCTTTTGAATATATTCATTCTTAGGAGTGGAATTCCTTGGTCATAAGACAATTTTCCCTAGTGTCTTTTCCTAAAATTTGTAGCTTCACATTTGTTTAAATCTGTAAACCAGGCCAGGTGTGGTGGCTCATGCCTGTAATCCAAGTACAGGTATTGATTGACTTATGACCTATGCAACTTACGACCATTTGACTTTACGACCACAATTGCTAGCCACGACTGCTCCGCGTCTGGCAGCGCAAACGTTGCCCAGTTGGGCGTACAACAGCACAGACCAGGTTCCGACAGCACTACCATCTCCGTGTGCACCATTTCAACTGTTATCCCAGACTCGGTACAGCAATTTGTGTTTTGTGTCTTGGATATTTTTCATCAAACCCCTCCCAATAAACTTCTTATACATTTCGAAGCAATGGACTCAAACATCGAACGATTTGCAAGGATTGAACGGATGGCACACGATGTGTTTCGTCTGTATCGTGAAATTTATGAAGAAAAAAAGAAACATACAATTCAGACAAAGCTCACCATGTTTATGAAAAAACCAACTCCGGTAACCCCAACTGCTGCCTCAGATGACGACATCAACGATCCGCAGCCAAGAACCAGCGGCAAATAAGATGTTTCGTACATGTTTATATATTTTGATATGTTTTGCAATTGGGAAAATGTCTCCTATGGTATTTTTTACACCTGTATTTTGTATTTTTGTATGAACCTGTATTTTGTAATTTTGTATGTTTTGCAAATATTAAACCAGTTGTACTGGTAATGCAGTGTTTTACTTAAACCTGACGAATGTAAAAATAAGAAACAAAATGGTGTAGAGATGATACAAACGGCATAAAATGAACAAAGAAAATTATGATATATAACAATGAAAGAAAATTATGATAAAATATGACTTAAAGATTTTTATAACATCATTTCACAGTACTGTACATATAGCCTACTCAACTTACGACCAAATCGTGTTACGACCAGTCTGTTGGAACCAATCGTGGTCGTGAGTCGAGCACTAGCTGTACTTTGGAGGCCAAGGTGGGTGGATCGCCTGAGGTCAGGAGTTCAAGACCAGCCTGACCAACATGGTAAAACCCCATCTTCAAAAAGAAAAAAAAAAAATCTGTAATCCAGCAGGGTGCAATGGCTTGTGCCTGTAATCCCAAAAGTCTGGGAGGCTGAGGTGGGAGATTACTTGAAACCATGATTTTGAGACCAGCGTGGACACTGTGAGACACTGTCTTTACAAAAAAGAAATTTAAAACTAGCAGGGCATGCTGGCACATGCCTGTAGTCCTAACTACTTGGGAGGCTGAAGTGGGAGGATCACTTGAGCCCAAGAGTTTGAGGCTGCAATGAGCTATGACCGCACCACTGCACTGCAGCCTGAGCAACACAGCGAGACTGCCTCAAAAAATAAAAGTAAACATCTGTGATCCATTTAATTTTTAGATAAGGTATGATACATAAAATTTTTTTCCTTTGACCTAAAGATAGCCAATTGTTCCAGCACCATTTGGTGAAAAGACTATCCTTCCTCCATTGAATTGCTTGGCGTCTCTGTCAAAAAACAGTTGTCTGGGCCAGGCACAGTGGCTCATGCCTGTAGTCCCAGTACTTTTAGGAGACCAAGGTGGGAAGATTGCTTGAGGTCAGGAGTTTGAAACCAGCCTGGCCAACATAGTGAAACCCCATCTCTACTAAAAACACAAAAAATTACCGAGGTGTGGTGGCACACACCAGTAATCCCAGCTACTTGGCAGTCTAAGAATTGCTTGAACCCAGGAGGCAGAGGTTGAGTGAGCCAAGATCATGTCACTGCAACCCAGCCTGGGTCACAAACTGTGACTCAGGCTTAAAAAATTGAAAACAAGGCTGGGTGTGGTGGCTCATACCCGTAATCCTAGAACTTTGGGAGGCCGAAGTGAGCAGATTTCTTCAAGTCAGGAGTTCGAGACCAGCCTGGCCAACATGTGAAACCCTGTCTCTACTAAAAATACGAAATAGCCAGGCATGGTGGCCTGCAGGCCTATAATCCCAGCTACTCCAGAGGCTGGGACAGGAGAATTGCTTGAACCTGGGAGGCGGAGGTTGCAGTGAGCCAAGATCATGCCACTGCACTCCAGGAGACAGAGTGAGACTCCATCTCAAAAAAAAAAAAAAAAAAAAAGATAAAATTTTGTTAGAAACTGCATTAAACCTGTGTATCAAATTTGCAAAGAACTGGCATGTTAAGTCTTTTAATTCATGAACGTGGTCTATTTCTTCATTTATTTAGATCTTTGATTTCTTTCATCAGTACTGTGTAATTCTCAGCATACATGACTGTACATGTTTTATTAGATTTATACCTAATATTTCACTTTTTTTTAGCAAATGTGTTTTCAATTTTGGTTTTCACATGTTCATTGTTCATACATTGATTTTTTTATGTTAATCTTTTATCCTGCAACTGTCCTGAAATCGCTTATTAGTGCTAGAGTCTTTTTGTTTGTGTGTCTAGACTCTTTGGGAATTTCCACGTAGACTTACATATCTGTGAACAGAAACATATTTCTTTCTTCCTTTCCATAATTTCTTTAAATTTTTCTGTACCGCTCCTTCTCCTTTTTGAGACTTCAAAAACATAAAAGATAAACCTTCTGTTATTGTCCCATGGGTCCCTGAAGTTCTTTATTTTTCTTCATTTTCTTTATTTTAATCTCTGTTGGTCAGAATGCATAATTTGTATTATTCTACCTTCACATTCACTGACTCTTCTGTCTTCTCCATTCTGTTATTGAGCCCACCCAATTAATTTTTCATTTAGGTTATCATATTTTGCAGTAAATAAATTTCTAATTTTCTGTTCATTTCAAGAGTATTCACCCTTACTTGTTATAGCAAGGTTTTAATTAATATTTTAATTATACTTTGGCTTTTAATTTTTTGGTAATTTCAACATCTGTGTCATGTTGTTGTTGCTATCTATTGGCTGTCTTTTCCCCTTATGATTTTTCTGATTCTTCAT